AGGAAGTAATCACTTGAACTACCTCACCTTGAGCTGTATGCTTAAGAAAATTGGACAATTGGTATTTGAGGCATCTGATTTAATTGTATAGAGGATTTAGATTTGTGTCAAAATGGTTAAAAACATTTAATCAAATACGTTAAACATTAGCAAGTCCACTGCTTGCTCATTATGTTTGACTTTGACCTCCAGCCCCTAGCCGAGTCATCCTAAGCTGCTATTGAGGCTCCAAACTTGTCTCAGGGAGAAAATGTGGTTAATAAATGATGAAACTGCTGGTGGTCAGGTGATGTCATGAAGAAAACAAAATAAAGGTACAACTTGGAAAATGACAATTGAAGAGCAGTGTTTTAAATTATGGTCCAGTTCATCCACCAATAAACATTACAATGCTTCTTTATTTCAAACTATGCACTAAAATATTTATGACATTAGGTGATGTGATGGTGAGAGTTGATAATGCATTGGGAAAAAGTGGAGTACCAGAAATGGAAAGGGAGGCTAAGGTAAATAAAGAATGAACTTCTGTCTACTCGACAGAGAGAGTGCAAAAAATATGATATTAGAGATATGATATTGTACTGAGCCCACCTCAATGAGATAAAGGTAATTCCTATTTAAAAAATAAGGGTTTTGAGACCTTGAGACTGCCTCTGTATTGAAAAATGTATTGAGCAGTGAGTTGAGAAGTGTCAATTGAGAGTGCAGTGCAGCCTGGACACAGAAGGAGGTGAGAGGCCAGGCTGCAGATGGAGAGCAGGGCACATGGAGCAACTAAGTGCCTATAAAGTATGTTCACATGATGTTCCACAGACCTGTAGAGGGGGCTGGGACTGAGGTAGGTGAACAGGATGTGGTGGAAGCTGAATACACCAGACAATAGCCACATTCAAAAGCAGGCCTACACCGCATGTATAAAATAATGAAAAATATCTCCACTGTTGTTGTAATTCCCTCAACATTCATAGTGAATCCACTCAAAAACGGCATACCAATGCCTTTAAGTAGCAGATTCATCTCAGTCTCACACGATATATCAAATGTTGTAACATCAATAGATTAAAATCAGATTGTGTTAACATTCTGACTGGTTCCACAGGGAATCAAGCTTTTTCAACCATTATATTCATTGAACCAAGAAGAAGGAAATTTCAAATGATGCCATGGGCCTGCAGACAAGTACATAGTCAATCTGAAGCAGGGTCCATGACAGCGGGCGGCAAGCATAATGAAACAAAGCTGAATAAAGCCGTGCCCAATTTTCATGGAAATTTCAAAACTGATATGTAACGCTCCAATGAAGATGACAACGGGAGGATTGTGATGCGGGACACATTGTTTATTGGTGAAAGGAGGAAAAGGTGTGAGTCAGGTACCTGCAGGGGTTGATTCAAGCAATAAAATGGCATGTTATTGGGGCCTGAGGATAAGGAGGAAAAGAGTACAGGGACATAACAAGCAATCATCTGGTTGACGTGATCAGTGCTTGAATCTGGTATTGGATATTAGGTCAAATATGAGGTCAAATCTAACCATGGTTTGTTTCATCATGCAAATACTAATCAACACAGACTATTAATGGATTTATTTTGATGAAATTCAAAAAATGTCTTTACCAGTGTTTCAATATAGGCAACCTAACAACAATTATGTTACATTTAGTGATGTGTAAATTCAAATATAAATAGCATGCAATGTTAATTAAAAGATCATCCAAATAAGTGAATAAATCTCTCCTCCTTTTTATTACTTATAGTGTAAACGCTATAAACATCAGTGACTAATGTGTCTCATCCAGCAGCAGGAGGATAAATAGTAAAGTCTTACATAACAACTAAAATACTATGTGTTGTATATAAATTGTGTAGCAATTCCCTTTTGAGCCAATGAATGTCAAAATGCCATTGGACACCCGGTGCAGTGGAAACATAAAGCAGTCCATGTAAGACTATGGGAATAGCTTTTATGGCCTCTGTAGCCTGTATACTGTATATCAGAACTGTCAGTACCACGAAATGCTCCAAGTGTGCCGTGTGCATAAACAGTGCATGGCTTTGCTTCAATATGAACGCATGTCCCGTGAGTGCACTCGAGTAATGTTTATCACTGTTATATTTCAGTCCATGTCAGCACAATCACTGAGGTGACTAAAGTGTGGCAATGCCCTCATAATACTGTTGGAGTACAATGAACTTAGTGATAGTGGGGCTGTTTCCTGTTGTTAATGATGCTTGGAGTTGTTATGCTCAGTAGCAGAACAACAGCAAATATAGTAACTGCAGTACTAGTATAGTTTTGTAGTTGTGTATTGTTGTGTATTCCTTTTCCTTATCCCCATGCAGCAGAAATATCAGCCACCTCACACGCTCCTCTTCACTATCACCAGTGGCAGCCTTCAGTGTACACATTTATCTTATTCTATCCCATTAATAAATTGTTGTACTACTAGTAGTTCAACTAACATACATCAGTGTCAAAATAATGTATTCATACTTGTATAGTACTGTGTATTAATAAAATCTCTATCTATTTCCTGTCTCCACCACACAGTCATCTGACCAGTGGATGCTATGGGCTGGTGTGGACACAAAGTTAGTTGTAAATAGCCTCTTTTCTCTTTGACATGTCTTTTCCTCCTCCTCCTCCTCCTTCATTGTTGTTTTGTGCCTCCTCTTGGCCAGCGCACCCTGCGGCCTAAAAGCTCCTCTGTGAGTGACAGTGCAGAGGTGTGTGCAGCAGTCTGTGTATGTTATTGTGTGTTACAAGTGTGCTAACTGTGTTGTTGATGGGGCGTTCCTCTGCTGACAGCTCCTGATGAAACTCATCATGCGTTTTGTCCAACCAAAACCTCCATATGCTCTTGGAGACAAAACACCATCAAGCACCTTTGGATATGGTCGTATGTGATTAATGCAGTGCACAACAAAAACTGTTATCATGTTATGTTATTGTTGTATGCTTAAGCTTGAATAACGTTGTATGCTAAAGCTTGAATATTGCCATCTTAAAATAATGGCCTATGTAAAATAAATAAATAAATAAATCATTTGTTTTGTATTATTTTTATTTTTTCAGAGATTTGTGAAGCCATCCACCTCTGGTACAAAAGTTAACCTCCTCCTCTAAACGGATCATGAGATATAAGCAAATATTCTATTGGTCTATGTGATAACAAGAGTGTGATTTAGGCCATTTTACTAAGCCAACATGACATCATTAGACATGGTTTTATTTGAGAATGAGTCTTGGACCTGTTTGGGGTCCATACCCAGGGCACCTCTACAATAAAGGTAGGCATCTCTCGCCTCTCTCGCATATAAGCAGCAGCTCTAAATCAAGTTTCCTGGGGGTGAAAGAGGACCAACCATTGTCTCTAAATCAGAAAATGAAAACAGACTGTTGACCTATGTCACATGTACCAAAGACAATATAGCCTAAGTCATGTTTAAAATACCTCAAATCCGAAGACATTCTTTTTTTCATTTTGTGTTACACAACTAACTGACATATGGTAAGTGTTAGTATAGCATTTCTCATTTATTATCTCTTTGTATAAAAACATTATCATATGTTGCACAGTTTTCAATTGATGCACTTTTTGTGTTTCCTGAAAATAAATTACTTAGGCCATTATTTTATAAGAGTGTTGATTGATATTGGTCAAACTAATTGCATTATTACAATAAAAACATTTGATTCACTGGGGAAATATATAGTATGAAGGATTGGATTTTGAATAATTTAATATAAGTAATTTGGTAATGAAATTATTTGATTTAAGGCTCCTGTTATTCTTAGTGAAAGTGGATCTCCTAGTTCAAACCACATTTGCACCAATAAGATCAGTGTCTGATATGTCAGCATAGAAATAATGATCATTTTGTGATCTATTTTGCAGCTCCAGTTAATTGTTCTCTACATCCACCACATACTGTTCGTTAGTCACAGAGTTTGCCTCAGGACGGCATCTTTCAGTAAACTGTTTGCTGTAATTGGTTTCAAAACAACATGGATTTTGTTCAGCACCATGATTATGGATCACATGAGTTTCTTTTGAAGATCTAAAGCCCATTACCAGCTATAAAACCACATATATCAAGTCTAAGCAAAAGCCCCCAATGAAACAGAGGTGAAGTGTGACTGTTGGATTGTTATGTTTGAATAAATAAAACCTCTCATTACCACTACCATTTGTACCATAAGCAATCGATCACTGATGATGGGAGTGTCCAAGCCACTGCACAGTGACCTGTCACCAGAGAAACTTAAAGGCACAAATGCACAAACAGACTTTTGTTCACTGTCACATTCATTCCTCAAATACGTACTTCCTTATTTTCTTTATGACTGTGAAATCCCCCTAAGTATGCTAATGTGTTTACACAACAGTTTAATCTCAATGTCAGGACACTCACAACACAATTAAAATCCAATCCTCTCCTGGTGGCCATAACCCGCTGTGCTCACTGACAGCTGAGAGCTCTCCCAATCTGCACTGACACAATAGTGCCATCAAAATGATCACAACCACTCAACGACAGCATCATTAAACTGTAGTGACAGCGCAATACTGCAAAGACCCTGCCAGCTTGGCCTTGTCTATTCAACGACCTCCCGTGGAAAAGTTTCAGAGGGGAATCAAGCTGCTCACTATCAGAAGCAATGTGCCATATGTGGTGTCATGAGGGGTGTAGTGATGGCATCTGCATTTTAAGTCCCAGGTATGTTTCAGCTGTGGAGGTTTAATTAGTTCACACTGTGAGTAAAAGGTGTCAAGGTGCTGAGGAAAACCAACATCTACAGGGACATGGAGATGGTTAGACTCTGGGAAAGTGCTCTGACAGGTTTTTAAAGCCCACTCATCAAACTCCATCTGATCATTTCACTGCTTAAATGACCATCAGTGGCGTCATTTTCTTTTCTTTTTTTTTTTTTTTTTTTGTGTTTTTCAAGAAGAAAAAGGGAAAAAAGAAAATAAAGATGGTATGTGTATTTTTTATTTCCAAATTTGACAGCAAAAAGTGACAACAATTATTATTGTTATAGCATTAATGGTATCTATATTGCCTAAAGGTAAGTAAATAATTATAACTATAATTATCCTTGCAACATTATTAACATGATCATCATGATTTGGGTGTGTCTATCTTGGCCCCCTTAATTTTTCTATACGTCACTGCAGAGGGCAAGTAAGGTTAATACCAGCTAATGCATTCCTTGTTAACTATGAGGTTAAGGAAGCTTTTGAAGCACTTGAACTCAAATTAATGCAAATTATATTGTGCTGTAGCCTAATTGATGAAGCCTAGCTATTTTTACCACTACTGTTTTTACACTAGGCTGTTGTTCGGCTGCTGTTTATGACCAAAGTGTATTTGCCCACTTTAGTGAACTGTAAGTGACCTTTGATGGCTTCTTGGGCGAATAGAAGCATAGATTTTTGTTCCTATTGTTTTGTTTTTCCTACAAATAAAGTGAATTAAATACCCTTCCTGATCTTACAGTTTACACTGAAGTACAGATATGTGTATTGTCTTGGATTTTAATAATAATTGCACATTAGAGGTGACTTCATCTTCAACTTCACTTTATCTGGTACGTATCAGGCTGTCAACGTCTCGAAGTTTTGTGTGAGCGATTCACAATCGTTTTATCTCCCACAGAAGTTACACGGAGCTGTCAATTGGATGATGTGGCTGTTCTGGCTGGTCACCTGCGCCTAGTGCCTCCTTAGCCTCGTTTGACAGCGCTAGTGGCTGACAGGGTCACTCCAAAACACCGCCCTAGCACGCAAGAGCGACAGCATACAGTACGCGGCCACTTCGCTCTGTGTCAGCCGGCTGTTTCTATGGACCCTCTCCTCTTCACTCCTGGATCGTTCACTCTGCGCAACACCACGCTACGGTCTGACGGGACGAGGTGCACGCTGTCTCCGGTAGAGGTGGTACAGTAGGTAGTTGGTGTGTGTGCGTATGTGTGGGTCTGCACTCCTAGAATAGAAAGGGAAGAAGAGGGAAGAGGAGAGAGGCAGATCGCAGTGTGTCCTGTTCACATTCAAGGGAGAGCAAATATCATCTGGATTGGAATCACTCCGCACTTTGCACTTCCTTCCCCTCCGTGGATTTGATGGATGTTTGATCATTGGATGTGATGCCCTTATATATCATCGATCGAAAATTCCCCGACACATCTGGTAAGTCGTTTGCACTGTACATTTCCATTTGCGATCTATGGTGCGTCTGCTCTTGAGTCTGTGCCTCTCACTGTTTGGTCCTGAGTGCGCGTGAGTGTTTTTTTCTTTTTTTTTTTTTTTTTTGCTTGTGCGTGTGCGCGTAAGCCGGCTCGACGACACATGGGCCAACGTGCACCAGTTGCTCAAGACACCCACTTGGAGTTCCCAACATGCAACAGGAGATTAGATGCCTGGCATGAGTGAAGGTGCGTCTTTATGGGTGCAGTTTAGTCGTAGATTGTCTTCTATCAAAATGTCAGATCCCAAACAGTTGAGTAATAGTCTTTGACGTGCCGGTGCTGACGCTCTTATATCAACTAGAAATAGAGCGATTTTTAGAGATATTGAAGACTAAGCAAGAGGATTCAGTTTTGGACAGCTGCTTTGATATAAAGTGTTCCCCACAGAGAGCTTTGCCAGGCCGGCTTGTGCAACTCCTCTGCTAGAGAAGGTGTTATTTTAAGTTAAACTAGGCCAGACTTCAGGACTTCTCCTTCTGCTACTAAAGTTGCTTAGCGTGTTCCCATGTAAATCGCATTGAACATAGCAAATCTTATGTGTTGTTGTATAAATGCACTAAAATGGATGGAGGAATGAAAATATGTTAATATATTTGAGAATGAGTCAGAACCCAGCAACAGCATCAGCCACCCAAGAGAGCAAATTTGTCTGAAAAGCACATTAATTGAAAAAAGTAACTCACTAGGCTAATCCAAAAAGTCAGTTTTGCATCCCCAAATCTCTTAAATGACCAGTTTTCGCTGTTTAGAGTCATTTGTATTTGGCATACAAGTTAAATTGGATGCTGTCCATGTCACACTTCTCTCCAGTTGGCTGAGCTTGGTGATGGCACAAGATTTGGCTTCTAGTGTGTGATGATTGGTTAATGAATTTGGGTTGACGTCAAACGCCCTTTCAGTATTAGAAAATAATAATAAAATGGTATCAATCAAAGCACTTTTATGTGCTCATATAATGTGATACAGATAATTCTTCCAGTCTTACAAAATAATCCCTTTAAATAGATTGTAAACAAACTGTTGGGGAGCTGATCCGGGCAGTGTACAGAGCAAACAGTCTGTGCGAGAGATAAGAGATTAAGAAGGACATCAAGTCAGGGGCTCTCTCCGATTGGAACATGTCTCAGCGCACTGAGGAGCAAGTCATTTAAAATGATTTAGAGCTTCTTACTATTCTGGTCTCATTCCTGCTACACATTCCAGCTACACACTCCATCTTTATGTTCTCTTTTTTCATTTTTCATAAAACTTTCTTGACAGTGCATTTTTTTGGCTGGAATTACGATAAATAAATGTAATATACAGTCACCAAATGGTTTTACTGAAGCAATGGCGCTGTCATAAAAAGTTGGTGCCTTAAGTAACACATCAGCTTTCCGAGTCAATCTGCTTCAATACTTTAATTAAAGGTTTGTGATTCTCAAATAGTGGATGGGGTTTGACCGCACTATTGACCTTATTGCTCAGATTTTTATTATTTGCATACACATTAGTCCAGGTTCTCTTCTATTTTAGTCCAAGTGTGTCATAATAATTAGATCTAGCAGTTGGTTTATCATACCAGTCAATTAAAAAATCTTAGAAAACCACATATTATAATATGGCTGCACTGTAGTGAAGCCTGAAATTGGGGACCTACACAACAGACAAGGCTATTCCTCACTACATTTCTTACAGTACAAGTCACATAGAACCCAGTAAATATATGCAAAGTAATGGTTGTAAAAAAGATAAACAAGGTGTTGACATGCTGTTGTAGAAACAGCCTGAATAGAGGAAAAGTGTAGGGGGTGTAAAGTCTATGCCCCCCCCCCCCATCCCAGGGACCCTCCCATCTGCACAGCGCCTCATGACATGAGCTTGTAAATGTGTGAGTGTGTGTGGCTAGTGTGCACCGTCGGAGGGGATTAAGGATTAATTGCCTTTAGAGATAGACTTAACTGCTTGTTGCATGAACTTTGTAAAGTTTCCACTTGGCTCCGAAGGGGAAAACAACAGTAGTAGTGTGTAGAGAGGAGCAGAGCGGAGGGCATTCTGCTAGTGTTCCTCAGAAGTGTCAGAAGTGCAGTGCCACTAGAGGGTAAGGAGTCTGTCTCAGCTTTGAAACTTTCTATTGTCTTTTTTCACCAGCTCCTTTATGACTTACTCCACATTTTCAAAACTGTCAAAGATTTTACGAGTGCATGATTCACTATGGCTTTTCCTGAATTGTGGTCTTCAATTTAAGCAACTTAAGTTTAATATGTGATGGTAACATCTACTTGCAAAGGTAAAGGCATATTCAGTTCTAGCTTTTGAAAGTTGTATATAATTTCTCCTCCAGTTTTTGCTTTGTGGACATAGCAAAGTCATACTCAAGATGAAACAGTTTGATTTATTGAAATGCTAATACATGAGACCACACAACTTAATAACTTAATTTGTAAAATATACTAGAATTTAGCTGAATTAGTCCAAAATAAATCCTGCTTTTAGACACTTCCGAGTTTTGTCTCAGATAACTGATTTCTGTTGGGATTAACTATCTAATTTATCATAATTAGCTTTCAGTCATGTACGTTTTTGTTTTCGCTTGTTACCAATGCTAATAGTGATAAGGTCCAGTTTGGTAGGAAATTACACTTAAATCTTTCTTACGTCGGTTGTTCCTGATTTAGTGCTTTTTAATTAGATAAAGATGTAGATGATTCTTGGAAAGACAGATGTATTTGGTGATAACATCTTGACTATACACAGCAGATGGCTTTTCATACGAGCCATAGATATATACTCGCAAAGATAGATTGTTTCTGGCTTAAGCTGCAGCTCCAGATGTAAAACTAACTGTCAATACCTCATTACACACAACCCCTGCATTCATTCCACTCTTTTTACAGAGCTGCATTCCTCTAACCTTCACATCATCTGGGTTTCAATCATTGATGATTCCACTCTAAACAAACTGAATAAAAGTCTTGTGTTCTGGCCCAGGTGAGTTCACACAGCTGGCTACAGACCGAGGAGAGCTAAAGATGACGGAGAACAACCCTCCCAAACTGGCCAAGAAGCCACGCTGGACCTCTCTGGAGATTGGACTCACTACTATTGTATCACTGCTGTTCATTGTCATTGTGTCCCTCATCATACTCTTTGCAACGCACAAGAATGGTGAGTGATTCTCTCAAGTAGTACAGAATTCAAGCTGAGATGAAAGTAGCAATATTTTTCAGTAACATACAACACGAAAAAAAAAAAAAAGGAAAACTTAACCTGAATTATGTTTTTAAAACAGATTTTTACTTCAAAAACATATTCAGTTACTATCTTGTTACTTCCTACAACTGAGTATCCAGAAGTAAACTGATAACACCAGCATAACAATCTGAAAATACATTAAAGTCTTTAATTTATTCCCATGATCTCCTCCAGCTGAGGCTCTGTCTGAGTACGAGATACTATTGTAAATCCAAGACTGACTTGAGCTCACTTTCAAAGCAGTGCAAACGTGCAGCCACTGAAGCAGACAAGAAAAATGCAAAGTGCAAAGGTCCTTTTGTGTTTTTCACTTTTTATGACGGCACGTCCCTCAAAGTGCTGTCTTCACACCTCTTTGACTTAGGCTTAATATATGAAAGAATGTGTATGGCTGCTCTAAATGTCAGTGCTTATTATGACAAATGGATGTTTGAAAATGCAAGCCATAAAGTTGATCAGGACTCCTCCTGCCACTCACCACGGGAAACACTGTTCACTCACATCATATGATGCATAAATTATCTACACCTACATAGTACAGTATAGACTGACTGGTGCTAAAACCTGTGTTTATACATGAAGACAATGTGAACAATATTGATTTATATTTTACATTACACCGATAGGTTGTCTTTTCCTGGAATTTTTCTTATTGTTTTATTGTATTTTAATTGCTATAGGTTGGCCTTGAGTTTCTTGTAAGGGCAATCTGATAATATGTTTTGTTATCAGCCCAAATAATGTAAATTGTAACTAATTTAGCTGAAGTTAGTTTAGTAGAAGTTTTGGTTTGGCATAACCAACATAGACTCAGTTTTTCTGTTATTATAATGTAAATTATTTATTTTACACACGGTTCACTGCACTAGTTAAACTGTAAAAAATAATTTTACTTGTACATGTGTGATGACCAAACTTTTTCTCTGAATGTGAATGATTTGCAATAGCTAGGCTCCTGGTTGCACGTAGAGTAGTATCAGTACAAAGCAGACATACCCAAACCAAACACCAATTAGCACAGGCAGCAGTGCTAAAGTAGCATGCAATTAACAGACTGTTGTTATTTATATACAAACATTAAAAGGTGGAGCACCCGGAGAACATACAAAGGTCATGGTAATTAACAGTGATTACACGTGGGAAAATGACTCCATTCTGGCACTCTGCTAATGTTTGCAGTGTCTGTCAGGGATATTAACAGCCTTTAATGAGCTTGTGATTTTACCTGAGTGGGCACAGTAATATGGATGTCATGCGCTGCCACACGCTATCAGAGGTGTTTCTCACAGTTTACTCTAGGGTATGTGCCTATCCCAGCTTGTGTTTAATATACTCTTTAACACCTTAATTATTCTTGGAGATTGGAGGCAGTCTTGTTAACAGAGTGTGAGCTGAAACAAAGAAAGCCACAAGAAGGACAGAATAGTAGTGGCAGTGTGTCTAAAACTGTGACAGTAATGGCTTCTTTTGTGTTCTCCTCCAGATGAGATATGCACCACTGCAGACTGCACACAATCAGGTAAGCCTGGCGTTTGTATTTGAGTGCTTTTATTGTCTCACTATGAAAGGCTTTGGTGTTTCCAGAGAGGGGTGGGATGTTGGGATGGCAGGCTTTGAATGCTGCCAATGCCCTGGGACTTAAGATGTGTGAAGGGAGGGAAAGATAGTCTCTTCATTTGTAAATATGCCAAAAGTTGTATAAAAATAGTCACCACTGCTGCATTGTGGGGTAGTGTTCAGGTTTGTCCCAAATGAATCCCTCATGTGGGCCATTCAGTAAAGAAACAGCATGTCTTTGAATGGGTGTGGCTGGTTATGCTCTGAGTTACTGTCCCTGTCTTATTTGTTTTAACTGTAATCAATATGATGGCCTTCTTAGCATGCCAGTTGTTATACAATTCAGTAAAGTATTTTTTAATTATTTTTCCACTATAACTTATGACTTTCTGTGGACAACTGGAATAACTCTATAGACTTGTCTGGGGTCCTACAGTCTAGTCTAGAGCATAATACAAAAAAAAAACAAATGTTCCTCTAATTGGACCTACAATTCTGCTGTTCTCTTCAGATGACCCCTCAACATATTGATGTCAGTCGAACTCCCAAATGGCTGAATATTTCCCCGGAATATTTAAATTACACCTACTCTTAAGTCTTTCATAGAAGACTAGTTCATTAGTACTATAGGCAATTAGAGTCGACTCTACAACAACATATGCCAATTAATTTCCCCAGTGTTTAGATGGAGCGCTGTCCTAGTTCAGTCAGATTTGACAGACAGCCTTGTCACAGGAGATCTCTGGGCTGCCTCATGTTATTTAATTGCCCCCTTGAAAAGTTAACATACTTCCAGCAGCGATTTCTGGCAAAGACAAATTACATCTATTTTACTCTTTCACTCACTGTAAATGACTGAGTATTCAGATCAGGGCAGACCTTTTCATGAAATACCTGGCAAGACCATGTATGTTTGTATGACCAATGTACTTTTACAGTAGAGGTTCTTTATTATACGGTACATTGACAACTGTGCAGGCTGTGCAAATGTGATGTTACTAGTTCTTCCCCTCTGGCCTTTGTCTTTTCCTGAGGTGCAAGTGCAAATGAGCTAACATTTCATGCAATTTGAATTTGGTCAGAGATGTGTATCACAACTGGAAATATGTGCTATGTCTTACAGTACAGCTCTCACTGAATGGATTCTCATTAGTGTTCAAAATGTCATTTACAAATGTGTTCTTCAGGTAGTTAACACTCATTTTAGAGTAATATAGGTTCAAATTGAACTTAATCATGCACAATAGGATATTACTATTGGCTCAGATCTTGGCTCAGATCCAGAGAAGGGTCCTCTGCACCATGGTTGGCCAGTACACCTGACAGCTGCACTATGCCAATACCAATATTATTTTAATGCAGTTGGATACAAGGAAAAACAATGGTGGGAGGGTAGCTAATTTGCAACTGGGAAGCCAAATGGTAAAAAAACAATAGTCTACTGCAGTACTCAAAACTATGGCAGTGCATAGTAACATTCTGGATTTGTTCTGTCCATATAGCTTCACGGTTGCTCGAAAACATGGATGCTACAGTGAACCCTTGTGACAACTTCTACCAGTATGCTTGTGGTGGCTGGTTAAAGAAGAATATCATCCCAGAAAGCACATCGAGATACAGCACCTTTGATATCTTACGGGACGAGCTGGAGGTCATCCTGAAAGGTCAGACATGACACAACATGATAAATGAAGGTCTTTGTTATTGCTGTCCAGAGGTGGGAGAGTTTTACAATTAAGTATAACCTATGAAGACAGCTTGACTCTTAAATTAGAGTTTAAGAGGATGGTCCTTCAGAGACTGGGGTCTATGGATATTCCAGATGCCACTTGAGTTTGGCTGCAGCTCTGCCATATGAGCCAAGTTTGTCACCATAGCAGGCATTAATGCTGTTGGAACATGGAGAGTGGCAAGTGGAGAATATGAACTGAAATATATTTAAAGAAGTACATGATCCTGATCTATTTGTGGCAAACCTTTACCCCATGGGGTACTAGAAATCCAGATAAACAGAAGATAGATACAATTACTGGAACATCCCTAACAAAGCAATAACACCTTCATGGAGACAAGAATGTGGCACCTCCACCAGGAAAGTTACATAGTGCATCTTATGTTGCATATTTTATTTTGTTGAGCATTTACAGAAGCACATTATTCATGGGTTTCAGTTTCCTGTTTATAGGCACCATTCTTAAATATTTTGCTATGAATTGTTATTTCCTATGGCAACGATTGCAAATTGTCATATGTACAAATTCACTTAAAGCTGTATTTACATTTTTAGTACAGTTACTTTTAGTTTTTAGGTAATTCTGTTCTCCCGCTTTTGCTTATCTATAGACTTGGATCCACTATCACAAAGTCAGCACAGATAGGCTTAGGGACAGAGCGTATTATTCAGGACATAGATCCTCAAAGTGAGTGAAGGAACTGCAAGTTGAAAGTGCAGCCTGTCTGCTCCTGTATACTCCGATAACTCGTACCAGTCTGGAGAACTTTATCTAAAAAAAAAGACTGGCACATGTTCTCCTCTCCTCCTTGTTCAGAATACTGATGACATGCATAATTTATCTTTATCAAAATGTGGACAGATTTTGATACATATTTCCGACAATATTCCCCAGCAGATTGCGCCGTTTTGGTCATGGTAATTATATTAGAGTTTATTGAAATTTTCACCCTCTGCTGGTGAGATTGTAATTTGATTTTTCACTCCAGAAGGTATAGATTTTTCAGCTCCACTCTTTTCCTGTTCTGTGACCGTGGTTTTGACTGTGGCAGCCATAAAACTCACACACAGGAGGAAAAAGTAAAGTCAACATTGCTCAACCCAGGATCATTTTAGGTATTCTGTTACGGCTACTGCTTTTACGTACATAGCACGTCTGTGTGCAAGTGTGTGGTATCGTTAGCCACGGTTGGTTTTGTCCTGCTTTGCCCCTCACTGATATTTGCTACCTGTCGAAGAATTCAGGCTTGTGTTGGCAACTTGGCATTTTGAGACATATTGCTTTTGTTAGACTTTTGGTTCAGTCAATTTGTTTATGGCTTAAGCAGAGATGTATTTGTACTTCAGGACTCAAGTAACATTGTCAGTAATACTACAAATGGAAGAAAAAGGTTTCAACATAGCCACAAGTAAAAAAACATTTTTTGTTAAACTACAAACTACTACTATTTACTGCCACACTAACAGTGCAAATACTAGTAATCGACAATTACTACAATTGTTTGTTCCCGTGATTACTACTATATTATATATAATTAATGCCCCAATGAAATTTGATTATATTAGTATTATAGTATAAAAGCTCTCCAAAAACCTGTATTTTGGTTTTTAATCCTGTAGTTCCTCTCATTTGCTCTGAATCAGCAGTAATATCTCAACCTGTGAACACATCTCTTATGTAAAAAGACAGAAGCAAAGCACTTACAGTTGTACCAGAAAGCAAAGTATGTGTAAACTTTGACTTTAGCTCATATTGCGAGTTTCATTTTTCAGCTGTCATGTGTCTAGATGTGAGCGAGGCCTCCACTTGCTTTGCTAACATGTGACCTTTGACCTGTGAGCTGGCTGCCTCTGCCTGGCTGGGATACATCTTGGCTCTGATGGACAGATCCTCTTCATGTTGACAGCTGGAGGGCCCAAACACCTGGATGCCTGAGCACTACAGGGCGAGCTGTAAAGGCGACTGGCACGTACTGTACCTTTTCAGGGCCTTGTAAATGCTTCAGATAGTTTCCTTGCCACTCCTGTAAAAGAGCTGTAAATGAATAATAATGAGGAGAGAGGGGTTAAGATCAGGAGATTATCAAGAGCAGTGTCTAGTAGAGCTGGGCGATATGGATCAAACAATGTATCTCGATATATTTTGCTATATCTCGATATATGATATATATCTTGATATATGTTCAAGAAAAAATAACCCCCTAAAAAACTGCAAAAACAAATATGCCAAATTCCACAAGGTCCTTTTTAAAAAAATTAAAGTGTAAGAGGTCGGCAGTTCATATAGGAACATTTAAGATTACAAAAAACCCTAATTACATAAATAATAATTTAACTGTCAAATAAAAGAAATAAAACATATTTCCTTCTTTTCATTCATAAATAAAACAACTCAACTCAAGCTCATCTTTGCATTAACTCTGTTATCCAAACCATAATCATAACCATGAAGCTCTTTTAACAGAAGAAGCTCAGGATGTTCCTTATTTTAATAGATCCATGTTCCTGTCCCGCAGTAAGGTTTCCCACAATCCACTGCAGATCAAACCCAACGTTTCCAAACACTTTTGTACAAGTGACACTGCAACAGATTATTAATTAAAATCTTCTGCATAAATAGAATTTACATTACTAAAATTTACAAGATATATAGCATAACGACTCAAGAGCCACATTAGCCCATTTGAGAAAATAGTGTTAATTATTTTATTTTATTTATTTTTTTTTGCAGCTTTGCGCAGACTTGTTTACGTTTTACAGAAACGAAACTTAAAAAGCGCATGGCTCATTTGCATAAACAGCGCACTCCACGTGCCGCTCTTGCGGTTCAACTTCTTTTGGACTAAAGGACATGACTCGGTGGAATATGAGGATGTGCTGCTGGTGGCCTTGTCTGTAAATGGTGGAAAAGTTTCGTGGCGCTAGAAGCTTTTCACTGGCACCAACTTTCGGCGTTCACGGCGATAGTGAGGAGTGAATGAGACACGAGCGAACAAAATCAGGGAGGCGGAGGCGCACGGGCGACGACAGAGAAGATAAACAAGCGGCGAAATCAAAATTGAATATAAGCATTATATCGATATATACGATATGTCAGAATTCATATCGAGTTTTTAAAAAATCTCGATATATTTAAAAAATCGAGATATCGCCCACCCCTAGTGTCTAGGATAGATAGGGTAAAGTATACAACAACTGGACTAAAGCTCCGCCCCCTGCTTCTCTCCATGACGATAGATCTGTTTAATGAAATTGTATGTAATATTTCAAGCAAATCAGTTCATAGTTTGCTATGACTTCAGGCCGGGGGTATTCAACTTGTATTTATGTCTATGGCAGAATGCTCAGCAGTTACCATAGTGACAAAATGCACACACCTGTTATCACTGCCAAAAAAAGTGTTAAGATCCAAGTCTGAAAACTCAAGAATAAATACAGAATGGATTCAAACAATTATCCAGGAGCCTTTGATGAACATAAGTATTCATAGTCCCATTTAAGTGGTTGATTTCTAACAAAAAAGGTGAGCGTAATTACCTGAAATATAAGCTTGTGACTGTAGTGTGATTTCAAAGGGACTTGTTTTAAAGTACAAAATCAGCTCACCTGTTGTGGTTTTAGCAGTCAGTTCATTTTTGTTCAGATCATGTTAAAACAAAGCTCAGATTAAAGTCGTAACTTGAGTAACAGAGCTTCAGACAGAGCAGTGCCTCCAGTTAGCATCACACCCCCAGAGAATGGTGATGGCATGTATCAGTAACATCTCTTAGGAGACAAGCGGTTGGTGAATCCCCCACCAGAGAAGCATTGTGCACCTTTAAGTCAAAAGCATATTGCAAGTTCTGTAAACAGTGCCACTTCAGTTTTACCAAATAAATGAGGCTGATCTGAAAAGTCATAACCCCTGATAGAATGCAGCCAAGTGTAGAGTTGTTTTTGTAGCTTAAAGGGAGTAAGTCTCACAATGAACCAGTGAGGACTGAGGAGTGACCCTCTCTCCTCAGGTGTACCATACTGTGCCCAATTGACTGTGAGTTTTTTAATTAACAGAGGCGACCACAGAGAGAAGAATGAACAGAGCCCAAAGTGCAGAAAAATTCAAAAACAAAGCCGCAGTGTTCAAAATGCGAGTACAGTCTGTAAAAAGGGTCTTTGAGGTGAGACGGGGAAACATCTGAAGACAAAGAACAATGTGAAATTGAGAGATGCTTTGAGGATGGGTCAGGAAATGTGAAACAGTATGCGGTAGCCTCGGCGAAGTACACAAGCTATACATTTTTGAACAACTCGACATCTCTGTTTTCCTGTGTAGTACTATAATAAAGGCACAATGCAGATAATTATTGCCTTGATACATCAAAAGACTAACACCAATATTACACAAACAGGTTGTTTACTTTGCTTTTCACATAAAGATTTTTCCATTGCACAACACTTTGAATATCATATTTCAAGAGATTTACAGATATCAAAGCAGATACCCATGGCCAAGTATAACAGTATTAATATTAAGTGAGACTGTCTGGGCCAATATAAATATCATGAATAAAACTCCTGAATTTAATGTGTTTTGGACTTCCCTGGGACCTCCGGTCATAACTGTCTGTCCTCATTCATTTTGATACTAACGCTATAAAGAATCAGTTACTTTCAATACATTCTTTCATTTTATAGCAGTGTGTATATAGGTTTACAATGAACACTGTAGGTTTTGTAGATGGTGGAAAAATGGCTGCTCATATTGTGTATTTAGAGCACAAGTTATGAAAGTCTTTTTTTACATAAACTAATCGGTGTAAAGGTAATAAGAGTAAGATATATCTGTGTGGAAACTTAAATTACAGCAGCTAAACTAGAAGATATTACCCTGTCTCTAGCAATATAAACCTTTTCCGTCCCAAATCAGGAAGGATAAAGAAACATAGTTGTAAACTGCTGCAAATACAGCAAATGAATCACAGTGGATGCTCATTGCTTGCTGTGAGCATGATAAATATGTTTTAAAGTGAGAAAATAGCAATAACTACAAACAGTGCACAACAGTTTCAACACCACATTCTTTTTTTTCAATCCAATGTACTCTGAAAGCCTTTAACAATAATAGAAGTAAGCAGCACATTACAACCCACTGTGCCCAAAATGTCTGGACAGGCAGTGAAGGATAAAATTGGCAAAACCAAAAAGAGGAACTAGAATTTTGATTTTGTATCATGCTGAGTGCTTTGCCTCCAATTGACGTGATGTCTCAAGCAAGCGTCAGGTGGTACAAAATCCACTCTCAAATACAAGATGTGTGTGTAGAGGGGGAGAGGTAGGCCTTAGCTGTGGTTAAACATTCTCAGCAGGCTGTCGCTAATCCAATCACACACGCCATCAGTGCCCTTTGGCAGGAAGTACCTCGGCAAGGATTCTTTTTGAGGCCCTCATCAAGATTAAGTGAGCTCGCTGAAAATGAGAAAATGAGGTTCAAAAAAATCAAACATGCATTATAATAAGAAAAGGAACAGAAATGCTGAAAGCTGTAAGAGGATTAGTAAAATTATGTGATTTAAGTGCTAGTATACCAGTGAGGGTTTAACAAAGTAGTTTTTATAATGGTCAGATGGAGATTGGGTGTTGTCCATATATGGCACACATCCAGTTTGAAGAAAGAACATGACAACAAGAACAAACACAAAACTGATGCTCCACCTTTATAAAAAAAATACTCTGAGATAATGTTTAAATGTGTAATTGTTTTGGAAATGACTAGAGAATACAATGTTGAAATGACAACAATTCAACTAATAAATCAGTTGTATAATAAGAATATTACAGTAATTTATAAGCCCAAATGTATTGCAGCACATTTTTTCCATAAATCCCTTAATTGTCACCCTTGTTTCACTCATTTCTCTCTTGTTATTCTTGTTATGAATCACAATATAATTAAACAATAACACATAGGTTATAGTTTTGTCAAGTCAAACTAAATTTAAAACTTGATTTTGATACTATAGAAAAGACTCGAATACTGATTTCAACAGCACTTTTTTCAATCCTGTATAATGTGTTTTTTCAACTCAAAATATAACTTGTTTCTATTCTATGTTGTCTTTTGATACAGATCATGACTTAACTATTCAGGGAAAAACAAAACAAAAAGTAAGTATCAATTAGAATTTGGGTTGGTTTTTTTTGACAACTCTAACGGCGCTATAACTTATGATGATGTAAGTAAAAGATACTCCAATGTGAATCCTGCCTTCCTACCATGAGTATGTTTACTCTGGTTTGATGCCAAGTGTGTGTGAAGTGAGTTATACCTGTGCACACTCAGGGGAGAGTTTTCAGTCAACAGCCTATGTAATTTAATCTTAGCCTGGTCCTCGCATTGATCCTGAAGCTAGATGTGCCAGACTGTAGCATATATCTCCCAGTGTACCTTCAACAGATGACTTTATTACAACTTTATAGAGGAGCAGGTGCAACAGTCCACTAGCACTATATGTCCAATTGAATAATGGCTTGTCAAAGGGGGTGTTTAGTTTTATCGAGGAGAATATTTCTGCTTCTCCGTTTCATGGATTTATTTCAATTACAGCTTAAATCTCTTTTCCTTTTCTTCATAAGAAACCACACTACTCCACTAGGCTATAGAATTTACAACTATTACTGCAAAAGTCAAATGCCCTGTAGAGAATACTTAGTGCAAAGCTAGTTTGCAAAACAGAAAAAGACCACTGTGCAGTTTTGCTTGGAGAAGGCAGATTATAGCCTATTAGCAGATTTTTTATTGTTGAAAAATGGGACATTTTTTACCCTGACATGTATGACCCAGGGTCGTGATTAATACTAAGAATAATTGCAAGCACGGACCTGTGGATGGAGATAGGGGGTAGGTGAAAACTTAGATTTTCCGAGCACTCAAGCCTCAAATATCGAACAATACAGGATTATTCAAATATGTATGAATCACTAAACTAAATAAACTAATGGTGAAGGAATTTTAACATGGTTAAAAAGTTGATTTTGCGTAACAGTTCCCCTTTAAGTAAATCCAAATGTTTCTCAAATCAAAACCATTTGCTCATGTGAGCACTTTGGTCTTGTGTGGATTACCCTTCTATGTTGCTTTTGTTTATTTTAAGTTTATTCTGAGCATAATTCAAGTGTCAGCAAGTCAAGTTTGCTTGTTGATTTTATTCTAGTCTCGAAAGATTCCCCAACGGTGGCCCAAACACAAGCACCACTTGTTGTTTGGAGCTCTGTTGTGTGCAATCACATTTCTTCATATCTTCCAGGGGGCCAGAGGATATTGGCTGGAGGGGGCAGATGAGGACCCCTGGGCTGACGTTGCCTAACCAGGGTGTTTATGATTTGTAAGAAAATAATAAAATGCTGCAGGCTGCATGATTCCTTTTTTTAAGTGTGAGCACACATGTTCTGGATACTGATAACCCACTTCACCTTCTCATAAACACAATAGTCCAAATTTGTCATCGAAATGCAGATTACTTTATGAGATTGATTTTAATGCACCATCTATTGAAAATGCACTGGCTCAGCTGTCTGTCTCTTCTTTATGTTCACAAAGCGCAGCCATTGCAGTTAACTCAGGCCATGCATTTACATATGTACACTTTGCATGTACAGGAAGTCCATAGCCAGCACTTAACATTAAACTGATTTATGCCATAGATTATTAACTAGGCTGTCTTTAAACTTGATACATGACGAAACCTTTATACTGTCTGCGTGCTGCAAGGTATAATGAGATGGTATATAGACTCTGAACTGCCAAGCGTGAAGGAAATGTCCAATCTAATTTGTTTTTTAGAGCACTTTTATTGAGTAGTTTATTCATCACGTTTGACTTCAGCCTAATGAATTATTGCTGTGCCACTAGACCATAAACAGGCCAGATTACAAAGGGATAACATTAAAGCCCTCCTTAACCTGCTTTTTACTGTTGTAGTTGGAACCAAGTGTTGAACTGTAATTCTTCTGTTGGTACTCAATGTACAGCTCTAATAGGATTAAGCTGCTTCTGTGCACTTGTAGATGGTGATGCACAAGCTATATCATAAGCAGATAGATCACGTCAAATCACCTTTCAGCACAGCAGAGTTGAAGTTTGTCTAAGAACTTTACGTTCTTGTTCATTTTCTGTGACATTTTTCATCAATAGTAAAAGTTCAATACATTGATGGGAAAATGTCTGAACACATTTGAAGCAGCCAGGTCAAGGTTCCCTAGTGAGAAATGTAGAGTGATTATCAGCCTAAAGCTGTCAGATAGCCCAAGTTCATTTCATTGTATCGCTTGTTTTTACTTTCAGCTTGTTTTGTATTGGTATGCATACATGTTCTTCGAAGCTTCTCAGGGATAAAGAATGTGAAACTCTCAGAGTCTGTTTGAAGCTTTAAGTTACATTATAACTATGTTTTTAAGGCATTAAAAGTAGTTTGCCTATTGTTTTCACAACACAGGCTGTGAGAGGGGTAGACTACACATTAGCACTCTCACACACTACTCATTCTGATTAGCTGTTTGCTGGCTGGGGGACACATGTGGCCTAAGGCTATGCTACCTGAGGTTCTTGTTAAAACAGCTACAAAAACATGCAGTAAAGCAAACTTTACTATTGTTTTCAAGCACTAAATATGCTCATTATTTGAATAATTTAGACTGAACCTTAACTTGTTTTGTCAATACAGTATGTTTGGCAGAACCTAAACAATAAATACTGTATCATGGGCATCATAAGTACAGGGCATAAACTGTATATATAAAGTGGATTCATTATGCTGCGGGGCAGAGACCTGAGGTGGCCTTTGAACAAAGTGCATGTACACTCATTGCCTAACAATGTTGTTGTCTATCCCTGTGTTCTGGTCCATTTATCATCTAGTGCTTTTCTTAGTGAAAAGGGCATTTGTAAGAGTTTGACCTTTGGAAGTTAACTGATGGACTTACTGACATAGGAAAACCGCCAAGCTCTAACATGATATCATACAGTGTGTAATGTTAATGAGGGCTGCTCTATATTATTTGCACACATGGAGCTTAATAAATAGATTCTGTTAAAATACATTGACAAGAGGTAGTGCTGTCATTTGTATTGAAAGTCCTTATTGACAGTGTTTTTTACTTTTTATGAGAACACTGACTCAGCTCTCCTCTCAGTCTCCTCTTCACTTCAGTGCACACTGTCACATATTGGTGGTTGTAAGATAATGTAACCACAGCTGCCAGGGCAGAATAACCACGACAGATTGCTATTTCATGACCATTTCTACCACCACCACACCAAGTGTAAAGGGGGACTAGGTAACTGCTAATAATGAAGAATTACTTAACAAACAGTTCTCTACTTAAAGGCCATGGTTAGGATATTGCTCTAAAGACCTGAGACCCCAGCAAAAATAAATTTATTTTAGAAAGATACTTATTTGAACACTCAGCCTGACACTGTGGAAAAGTATATTTTCTGATAGCCAGTGGATAATCCTTGGCCCTTTGTCTTGTAGGCATTGCTACATGTTGCTCCTGTGTATTCTCATAGTGTTTTCTCTCCTGTAGGTGTCCTTGAAAAGAGCGTTGAGGGTGAGGCTGCTGCACTCACCAAGGCCAAGACCCTTTACAAGTCCTGCACCAATGAAAGTAAGCCATTGTACAAAAGTGAATTCAAAACCTTCAATCCCAGGAGGACAGTCACTTTAGTAACAGAATATTATGCGCATTCAGAAATGGAAAAGCACAGTTATAACACAGCTGTATCCCCACATCCCCTTTCATATTGAAGAGTCAAGAGGTCAAAAACATAAATAAATAAATAAATAAATACTATGCATTTCTTTCACCACAGTATTGTTACTGTTGTTTGCTGATTTAAAATATTTGTAGTTCAGTTTATAGCTCTCACTACTTTTATAGTAAAACCAAATCAAAACATTTTAGCAGACAAATATTGCTTATGACTGTTGCTGTATTAGAACAATAAAACATTACCAGTTGAGAATTTTAATAAATCTTAACTTAACATCCTCTGTTTTAAGGTCTAATAGAACAAAGGGGAGGCCTACCATTGTTGGAAATGCTGCCTGATGTCTTTGAATGGCCAATGGCACTAGATGACTGGGACACACGTTACGGTAATATATTCTCTACAACTGCAGATTTTCCAAATTGAATATATTATTTTGATTATATCATGTTGCTTTACTTCTTCTGTCATCAGGTGCAACTTGGAGACTGGAGGATGTTGTTGCTAAACTCAATGAAAAATACGAAACTCAACTTTTGGTTAACTTTTTTGTTGGCACCGATGACAGAGATTCCAATTCACACATCATTCATGTAGGTGTGCAACTACAGCAAGATGTTCTTCTTTCACAGATCATGTTGAACCAGCTTTAACATTCACGGCCAATTTGGAAAGTTGGATCATAATGTAAAATGTGAATACAACAAAATACAAGATTTTTCAGCAGTATTTTAATATAAACCTCACAGTCTTTGCTATTTTATATGAACATAGTTTAAACAGAATACACAAAATGTAAAACACGTTATTCAAAAACATCATGTCCCATTTAAAGCTCTTTTTAAATTGTAATATTGATCAAATTTCACTTTAAAATTTTACTTATGCAAATTGGTTTTATTTACATTTCACACATGATCCCAGCTTTTGCTGTGATTGGCTCAAATACAACGCTGCAACATTTTATATATTATTTTTATTTCCATTTGTTGCCAGTTCGACCAGCAGTCAAGTCTCGGCCTCCTGTCTCGAGACTATTACTCCTGCAATGGGCCATATGCAGAGGTGAGATCACTTGTGCAGTACACATGGCAAACATACAGTACATACAATGTACCCAAACATATGATTATGGCTTAACCTGGTGTACTTTCAAAACAGCTGCATGCGTTCATTTGGATGTGCGCCACAGAGTCTCAGTTTCTCTTCCCCTGGAGCTTGTTCTGGGAAACTTAATGCCCCAGAGAGTGAAGGGGGTGTCACTTAAAACAGCAGTACCTGAGTTAATGTGTGTCTTTAGTGCGCACCTAAAACAGAATGCCAACATGTGCCTCTCCATGTGCAACGCATAAAAGTCTCCTAAGCTCAGAAGGGATGATTAAACTCGAGATTAAGTCCCCTCTTAATATGGACCAGATGCCTGTGATTGGAGTGGCCATCTTTCCCCGATGAATATAAATTCCCTTTAACCATATAATGTAAACACCTGTTTTACTGCACTGGTGTAAATGTCTTGATGTAATGGACTTACTAATGAATTGTATATATTTGACTGACAGGCGTGTCGGGCATATGAACAGTTCATGATTGACCTGGCGAAGCTCATACGCACAGACCGGGGACTGTCCATCAATGAGACCAGTATCAGGGAGGAGGTGACGCGAGTGTTCGACTTGGAAAAAGACATTGCCAACGTAAGCAAACAGAAGAGGATTTCAGGAATTTTGTACCAAAGGAAAACAGACATTCACATATTACTATTTATTATATAGCGTTATTCCTTTATGTATACTGTATCTTACATTGTTGCAAGTGTTTTTGTTGTTAAAAATATCTTCAAAAAATGTATTCTTATTGTGAGTACCCATGCCATTCCACAGCCTTACCCTGTAAACTGGCCTAGTAGTGTCACCTGCTTGTCTCCAGGGCAAAAGATATGCTTGCCATTTAGCATAGCAAGAAATATTCACTTCCTATGTTGGTTCACTAATTCTAGGTTGCATTGTCCACGTATAGTATAGCAAAACTGTCATGTGCCTCCACTCTGGTTGGTCCTAAAATTAAGCGGCCACCACTCTCCAGTCCCAAATAGCTCTAGGAGAACTTGTAGTTTTCCAGGCTGCACATTTGTCTTTGTGAGTCTGTCTTGCTTACTGCCACGCTTCACTTCAGCTCCACTCCACCGCTGGCTTTTATAGGGCATTTGCTACCTTCTCAAAGCTGACATTTACAGACCTGAAGCCTCCTGGGACCACTGATATGTTTGTTGGTGCTGGACCTCACGGTGCAGTTGTATGGAAGTGTCTGGGAAAAGCTTGGTGATGTTGTGACAGGGTTTGTGATTTCTGACCCCTACGTTTTCCTTCTGCTCTCCAAGGCTACGGACACCCCAGAGGACCGCAACAACCCTGTATTGCTTTACAACAAGATGGAGCTAGGGGACATGAATGCCAACTTTACTCTTGAGGTTGAGTCAAAGGTAAACACTGTCTAGCTCAAATAAAACGTATAATTTTCTAGACATAATTCTTGGAAAAATAGTTAATACGGGTAGATTTTGCCTTTTGCTCATTGTAGGGAAGACTTTTTTTTTTATTACAAAGATTCAGCCTTAGTAAAGCATGAACAAAGATTAATTTCATGATGATCAATAGTTGGATCATTATGTTATAATTTGCACAAACGCAATATTCATCCAAAAACTACTTAATAAAAGAAACAAATACATTGACTGCTGTATTAGAAAACTGTGGTGCCCATTGGGGGCTGACGTCATTGTAAACATCATCACAACAAAGAGCCATGATTTTGCCAGCATCTTTGATGGATAGCTGCACATCACACTATGCAGTGCTGCCAAATTTAACGCATATCATTGATTAAGAAAATAAAGCAGAACAGTGGGTGTCTACTGGAGTCTGCAATATGGCGCCTTGTAAATAAGCGATTACAGATTGCTCAAACATGCATGAATCTCTCCAAAAACAACTTTGTGAGAGGAATTTAGAAGGGGAAACAACTATAACATGGTTAAAACCTCTAAAAATTCTATTTTGCACAGTAAGTCTGCTTTAATAAACTGTTAATAAACTATTTATTGATTATTACTTTAGTCTTTCTTCATGCTTCATTAAGGCTAATTAAAGTGTAGTTATTATAAAGTGTAATAAAATACTAAATACTAATTATAAAAAATTGTTCCTTGATTTCCTTGCCATTACTATTATAACATATGTCTCCTTTAATATTGTGTCTTTTCCTCTGTAGACTTTCAACTGGACATACTTCACAGCAAAAATTATGAACACAGTCAACATCACTGTCCCTGACACAGAGAAGATCATCAACTATTCACCAAACTATTACAGAAAACTCAACGTTCTCCTGGAAAAATATAGCAAACGGTGAGACCAGGTTATATCACTTAAGAATGAGAAGTTTGTATGGATTAGAGTGCCCAGCATGCCGTAAAAACACCAGCTCTTCTTTGCCATACGCTACAGCCTTGCTTTCATATGAGTGTTTTCTTTGAACATTCTTCATTTTACAGGGATCTACAGAACTACATGGTGTGGCGCTTTGCTATGAACATGGTGGTGGGCCTGAGCAGAGCATACAGAGACACCAGGAAAGCCTTTCGAAAGGTACAAGCTGTGCGCCTAAAGGTGTCACTATAAAAGTTACACAGTTGGGCAAAGGGGCAGGCTCATTGTCTTTGAATAACTGTGGTCATAAGCATACACACTTTGTTTGAACACATTCAGTTTTTGCTACTGAATACTAAGACTGCACAATTTTGGGAAAAAATAGAATCATATTTTATTTTGATTGTGATTAGATTTGCAATATATGTTTAAAAAGTATGATTCTGTTTGGAGTGTTCACATAATAAATTACTCCAGCAGGAACATTAACATCTGATAGAAGACTGAAATATGAACTGAAAGATTCCCATGCATTTCAGAACATATTTGTAGAGGTTTAACAATGAGGACAGCACAATTCTTACTTAGTTTTGGCAATTTGACAACTGCAACAACTCAAATTTCAATACTGATTGTTTGTGATATATTTTGAATTTCTATTAAATCCAATTAAATAGTCCACAGTGTTCAGTATATCAAGGTTTTATTTGTTTGAGGGCTGCGCAGTGGCAGAGTGGTTATGGAAAACAAATGTGATGTTAAAGGGTAGTCTTCCGGTATAAGTCTTGGCCATCGTTCATGCTTTTCTCTGGCTATGGCTCATATAGTTCCAAGGATAAGCTCCAGCAACCTCTAATGGGAAAAGCAAAACAGATGAATACATTAAAAAGTGTATGTAAACACAATACACAATATTCTTAAGACTCATTGCCATTCCACTGATGTACAATGATGCTACAATCACAAAGAATGCTCCTGGGGTCTATGCTTTGAATGGCTGTTCTGTGCCCTGCTCCATAGGCTTTGTCTGGCACCACCTCAGAGGCAGCCGTGTGGAGACAGTGTGCTCTGTATGTCAACAACAACCTGGAGAATGCTGTGGGCCGGCTGTACGTGCAAGAGGCTTTCTCCGAGAAGAGCAAAGAACTGGTCAGTGTGGATTCAAATCATAATGAATTTAGTTTCTGATAAAATGTTTTCTTTAACTGTTAGTTTTGTTGTTCCAAAAGGGAATCTTGGGCTCAGAGAATTGCCCACAGTTACTCTAATCCAAACACTCCCCATAATAGTAAACTATCACTTAAGTAAATCTTGAACAAACCTGCTTAACAATTAATTTTGTTAAGCAGGTTTGTTCAAAAAAGCAACAGAAACAAGGGAAAAAGAAAGCTTTAAACAACCTTTTTTAATCGCTCAGTAACATTGCACATATAACATATATAGAGGGTTGTGTCTTTCAAGCTTACTAAGCATTTTTGCAGTACAAGTTTCCATAAAAATGATAAGAATGATAATATATTTAGAACACAGCTTAGCTTTTAATGACTATGTTTATGGAGATTTTGCGCTTAATTTGATGATGGAGACAATTGTTTAAAACAAGCTAAATTCATTAAATTATAATGTATTTGAATAGATGTACTTTGTTTTTGATTAACAGCAGAATAATATCCTCGATGAGTACATATGTTCCGTGGGTTTTCATGTGCTGGTATAAACCAAACGTTTTTCAAATAAACATTAGACTGGCAGTTAAATACAGTAGCACTTTAATAAGTATTGCTTGAAAGTGAAATCAAGAAGCACGCATATTTACAATCTAATTTGCTCTCCAATATAAACAAAATGATCAGCCTCTTCTGGTCTTAGAGTTGGCTTGCTTTGTTGCTTTTAATGCTTCTTCTATTTAGACCAGTCTTTTTCCTCCCTTCTGTTTTTACACTCGACATGATGCCCACTCAGCTCCCTGCTCCTCTGGACGCATGCAGTTATAAATGTCCCATAGTCCACGTGACTCCTCGCGCGTGTGTGTGAATGCATCTGCTACACAGTGTAAATCATCACCTTGTTGTGCTTTACCATATGGATTTCTGATAGAACCAAATGGACGTGTGTATTTCTCTGCAAAACTGGCACATAACCACAGCTGGCATCTTGTCTATGAGCAGATTTATAACATTGTTTATGTATATTTCTGCATCTCACGAATTTTGGAAGTAGTAAATATTTATTACAACACACAGGAGATGAGTCCAGGCATGTGAGGAATACAAAAGCAGATTTAGTTGAGTTTCCTGGTGCCTACCTTTGGCCCTAGACTAATGAAAAACAAACTAACCAGGTGAATAATAAGCCAGAGAATTGCAGGCTCAGACAGCTGGACTACTGATGGATATTGCACATGAAGTTAAATGAATTTATGGCCCAATAAAAAAAAAAAAAATATATATATATATATATATATATATATATATATATATATATATATATTTTTTTTTTTACATTTGCAATATTAACTCTAGTCAAAGGGGGTCAGTAAAAAAAAGTTAGGTATCGAGGAATCGAGATGTATCATATAGCAGTTGAACTACAAGATTTGACTTTTTCTTACAAACAAAACCAATCATCTAAGTAAATCATCTTAAACCACTTCCAAACCACATCACAGAATAATACAACGTTATTGCTTACAAATACACTGACTGTGGCCTATGACTTCACTTATGTTTTTAAAGTCAGATTACATGGCATAGTTTCTTAAATATTTGACAGAAACCAACCTCTGCTTTTGCCATTTTCCAAACTAGAGGACTATCTCACTGATGAGCCCATGTTTTCATTGGACAACATCTTCTAGTGAGATGAGAGCACTTCATTGTTGAGCAGCCAGCTGCCATAATAAGCACATGGACCACCATCCTCCAACTGTGTTTTCTGCTACAGATTGCACATGTAGGAGAAGTGCATGTAAAGGTTACCTCTGCACTATGTGCATGTCCTACTTATCACAATTATAGCATCCAAAGAAGGAGGAATGTCAGACTTGAACATGTTATAATGCTCCACATTATCCAGAGATGCAGCCACATGAACCATTCACCAGAAAAAAGATTTAAACTTGTCATTTCATGGTCATAAACAAGTAAATCTCTGCTGGGACCTAGCTGAAAAGCATGAGCTGAGATGTGTGAGGAAACGTGAGCAGCACACTGTACCCTCTGCGATCAATGACAGAGGCTGATCAGGTGGAGATGCCTGGTTGAGGAAGGCCAGAGCTCAGCCCAAGAGACTTGATAGCCTGGAGTAGCACTGGAGTCTGGGGCAAGATGCTGACCTATGAAACTTGGCAGAGCCACTGCAATCTTAACATGCCAACTTCAGATTCAGATTTCAGGCATGATGTCTGTGAAGTACACATACACATGCTAAGAATTAGGCTTGAGGCACTGATACAATTTTTTTTATTAATCAGAGGTGGAAATGTAAAGTACAAGTAAACATACTTGTGTAAAGATTAACTCAAGGCTTACTGCTACAAGAAATCAACTACCAGAGCCATTGTTTAATGTTTATCATCAAAGTTATGATGGCAAGTGATCAAATGTGGCTTCAGCCTAAAAGTTTTGGATCTAGGAGCCGCTTGTGGTCCTTGTGGTTGGCCATGGTGTGGTGTTCAAGTGTGTTGCAGTGTGTTAGGGAGAGCTTGGCTGATGTGAAGAGACAGAGGAATGCATCTGCCTGTACACCCGTCATTATGGCAATCTGTCAGCAAATGCAACCTTTCCTCTTTTCTTTTTTCATTACATTTAAGTTTTTTCATGTCTTGTTTTTGTCATGTTTTATGCAAGACATGTTTGGTTTGCACAACAAAATCCCATGGTGAAGGCGTCAGTCAGTCTGTCTCTTTGTGTACCACAATCTTTGACAATTCCTTAAAAAATAAAACACTGACCTGAAGATGTTTTATGCAATACATGTGAAATATTTAGCTTAATTACCTGAACATAGAAAGAACTTTGAGACATATTTCATAATTTTGTTACATAATTCTTTTATGAAACCGTTTTTCCCAATAGACATTGTTACAAGCCCTCTTAGCAAAACGCTGAACGCCCACACTATGGAGACTTTGAAATATAGTCCACTATGTAGTTAGGCATGGAGCTATCTTCCATCTTCTGACTGCTTATTTGATTACTGTTTTTTCTGTGTTAATCTATGTGGGCCCCAGATGCAGGAGATGATTAAAGATATCCGAGAAGTATTCATTAGCAATTTGGATGACCTGACCTGGATGGATGCACAAACCAAGAAGGCAGCTGAGGAAAAGGTTCACTTTAACCTCAAAGTTGTTTTACTAAGTTAGCAAATGAAATCTTAATTGTGTTTTTTCCTCTCCTTTCTTCAGGCTAGAGCTATTCGGGAAAGGATTGGTTATTCTGACAACATAAGGGACGATCAGTTTCTCAACAATGAGTATAAAGATGTGAGTAGCTAATTAGACATTTTGTTTTATTTATTTATTTTTTGTGGGATATAGTTTGTAATATTTTGTACAAGGCTGAGAGAATTTTACAGAAGCACATGCTAGTCAAATAATGCACATATTTACCATTACTGAGTGTTTTTTTTTTTTTTTTTTTCCCAAGTCTTGGTCTCTTAAAATGCATTATATTTGAATAATTTACATAAACTGGTGATGAAAAAATAATAGAGAGCATTAATTATCTAGGTATTGATAGTACTAGACCACATGAAAATAACAGAAACTAAATTATTTTATATTCTTATATCAAATCTCTTCCCTAGTCTCAAAATTGAGTTTGGAATTTTAGTATTGTTTTAATTTTGAACCAAAGCTGTTCTCTCTTGATGCTTATGGAAAATTTCACGAGTGGATATTACCGGTGAAACCAAATTTATGTTTAGTCTTTTTCTTTAACACATTTTATCACCACTTTAACTTTCTACAATGTAGATATTTTGTTTAACTTATATTATTACAAAAGTATCTGATTCAAAGTACCTGCACCCTATAAGAGATCTTAGTGGATTTAGGGATTATGATATTCTTGCAGTGAAATAAATGACTTGGTGTTGAGAGCTTTCATCTACTCTAATCTCTTGTTTCTTTGGCCTCGTGCTATAGCTCCACTACAGTGCTGAGGAGTACTTTGAAAACATCTTGAAGAATCTGGAATTTGCACAGAAGAAACGGCTTCGTAAACTCAGAGTCAAAGTCAACAAAGAAGAGTAAGGCTGTGCATGTAGTAAAAAAGATAGAAGGAAAATGATATGTTGTTAGCTTGCCTGCATTTTGTAGTACTTTCTCCCACACAAACTCCCACACTCGCACTAGAAACAGCAGGAATGCTAATATTAGCTCTGGTTATTATTACCACAGGTTAATTTTGTGATTTACTCGGAATCTCAAATGTGCACTCTCTTCTCTCTGTAGGTGGGTAACAGGAGCGGCTGTTGTAAATGCATTTTATTCTTCTAGTAAAAACCAAATAGGTATGTAACGTATGCTAATGCAGCTCAGCATGATTGTAAGCCTGCAGTAACAGTTATGGGGGGGGTTATGGGGATTTAGTGTTCCCTGCAGGGATCCTCCAGCCTCCATTCTTCAGTAAAGGCCAGACCAAGTCACTCAACTACGGGGGGATTGGCATGGTGATTGGTCATGAGATAACACATGGATTTGATGACAATGGTATGACTTTCATTTATTATAAGGCAGATGTCTTTGGCGAAAAAACTCTCAATTTTTGTGGAAGCAGAATAAGAACTGCATTCACTAATTTGTGCGTCTTTACTACTGCCACTATTATCAAAATTACTCATTCAGAAAGGCGGTTGCTACTTCTGCAAAATAGGCCTACTTATCTAAGAAAACCTATTTCTTATGGGGACAATATAGGGTCCTTAACCTTAATTAGCAAAGGTAGTTATGTTAAAACTATGCATAATTCATTTTGAACTGTTGCAGTACAGCATAAAAAGTACATTAGAAATGTTTTTGTGCCCAATTGAAATATAACCAGTTGTCTTGGTAATATGATTTAGGCAGGAACTATGATAAAGACGGAGACCTGAAGGACTGGTGGACCCCAGACTCCACTCAGAGGTTCCTGGAGTTGTCCAAGTGCATTGTGGATCAGTATGGAAACTTCTCCTGGGATCTGGCCAATGGGCTGCATGTATGTTACTATTCTTAATTATGTTCATCTGACAATTAAAATTTATAGAGTACCAAAGTGAGTACCAGCATTTTATGTTTTCAATATAAGTAATTAACACAAATCCACAGACAAACACATGATAGTGTCCAGTTTTGTATTCACTGATCATAATACTGCACTCAGAGAAAAGACTTTGGTTCAGCTGTTGCAAACCACTAATAAAGTTTGTTTTGATAGTGTGTAAAACGTTATCCACAACCTCCAAAAGAAAGTTCTGTAAATAATAAATAGGGCAAATTCTAGAGCACAAAATAAAAAGAGATGCATATAAGATATATGCTAATATTTTTAAGTTAATAAACCTAGCACAAAAAGTGCTGCTTTGGGAAAAGTAATAAAAGTAGTCAGTATTTAGGAGAGCCAAGAGCTTTGAAAAAGCTGCAGGATATTTTGCCTCAGGGGTGAAAAGGCATCGAGCCTTTTTATTTAACCAAGGGCCTATTTATAATTGTCTCCCGTCAGAACACTAGTGCTGGCTCATCTCTTTTCTCTTCTCTGTCTCATGTCTTTAATATATTGTGTTGTCATAACCATCGCTCTCTCACTCTGCCTCCCCCTCCTGCTTCTTTGAACAAAGCCATGCTGTTGTTTATATTTTCCCACTGGGAAGAAATGATTTCTTGTATCCAAAGGAGTGATATCTGTGACTGGCTGAAATAAAATGAAACAATTACAGCTCCTCCAGTGCATTCCTTCTCACCAATCTGTGTCCTCTCTTTGTTCCCATCCCCAGTTAAACGGTAATAACACCCTCGGGGAGAACATTGCTGACAATGGTGGTATACGACAGGCGTATCAGGTAATGAGCCCACAGGCAGCAGTTTGAAGTCTTTTATCGAAGCAATGTTTAGAATGTTTTCCACTTCAAATACAACATTCAACTCTGTAGTTATTATTGCTTCTCATAATTTGATTGTGACTACAATCAACTTTCATTGTGTGTGGGAATAAGACGTGTGGTTAGCAGTAAATGATTATATTGTAACAATGTGGTAAAGGGTAAGTACGGTACACTCAGAAACTTGCCAGACCAATTCAATGTGGTATTACAAAGTCATAACAAATATGCCACAAACACAAACCAGAACACCCTAGATACATAGACAGAAAGAAAAGCCCTCTGTGTAAGCTACTTTTTTGTTGCAGGCCTACAAAAACTATGTGGCACTGCATGGAGAAGAACCGCCTCTTCCTGGTATAAAGCTCTCCCATGATCAGCTGTTCTTTCTAAACTTTGCCCAGGTATGAAACCTTACATCCGCTGACAGAAGAGGGGTGTGAATGATGGTGAATGATGCATGTTTGTGCAATAGTCATTTATAAACCTGTCTCACCTAATACAAACAAAAGACGTAAGATTCTTTGCTAGTGGATTATCACTAAGATTCACTCTACTCACTATTTTAGATTTGGTGTGGGACTCATCGACCAAAGCAAGCTGTCAATTCCATCAAAGTAGATGTTCACAGTCCAGGACAATTCAGGTAGAGTACATAATAATATAAATGGTAATGGCTTTAATGGACTTCATGACTTGTGCTACAAGCCTTACAGGCTGTTCAAAGAGCTATAGTGCTCAGAGGTAGGTAGGGTAGCCAAAACTGTAGACAAGTAAGAGTAACATTACTTCGAAAAAGTATCTTTACAATCTTACTGAGTAAATAACTACTAACCTTAACCTCTGACAGTAGGCCATTATTTAAAAACTGGAGCTACTTTTGTTACCACATCATCATTATCAGTGGCTTCCACCACACTGGCTCACACTTCACATTCATAAGGAAAATTCAGGATCTTGCTCAATGCAGGATGCACTGACTAGAGCCAGTTTTGAACTGCCAACCTTGTGGTTTCATGTTCTGAAATCACTGAGCAGTGTATCAGTACTGGTGCCCCTGTTCACTAGCTGCCAGCATGGACAAACAATGCAGTGCTGAGAAAACACTGCATCAAAGATATAATTATTTACAATTTCTTATGAGAGTTGTTATGACTTCCTGCTGTAGTTTAGAAAATCATTTTCTCTTGTATTTCACAGGGTACTCGGTTCGCTTCAGAATTTCCCTGAGTTTGCCAAAGCGTTCAAGTGCAGCAAGAACAGCAGCATGGTTCCAGAGACCGTGTGCCGTGTGTGGTGATTCTGCTGGGACTATAGTGAGGCAGCTGACTCTCAGCATTTAGCCCATGACCAGTGGCGTTTTGAATATGGGGTACACAGAAGAAGCTTGGAGACAGCCCCTCAGCCTTTAATAATCAAGTGGACCAGGATTGGTGAACTGGCACCACAGTATGCACTTCTTCTGAGGACATGGTGGAATAGACCTTTCCTTACAGGTGGAGATTTATAGTTCATTCATATTTTTGTTTCACTGGAAATTATCATGCATTTATCATTCATACTCAATGTGAACATGGTCAACTTGTTTTGATTATGACCACTGACAAACTTCAAATGGCTCTCATTCACTGTAGGACAAACGTAAGACATGAGGGGATGTGAAGTTAAACAGTGTGCTGATGCAAGCTGCTGCAGGTAATACATAAGTTTATGGTACACACTCAAAGTGCCAAAAACAACAACAAAAACAGCCAAGACCACAAGGGGGAGAAATGTCCGTTTGTGCCAAATGAAGACTGCCTTTCTTAGACACACACATGTTCAATATATTTTTATATACATCTTTATATTGTATACAGCTATCGAGTATTATACACTGTTTCAGGAATGGAAGGTTAATTAGTAGAGTTTCAAATGAACCAAAATAATATACTTGCCTTTCACTGCTGCTTATAATATACAGAGTGGACAATCTGCAACACCTTTTTATAAAGCCTTTCTCACCCATGTATTTCTCATTAGCAGCACATCACTGTCTCCTGTAGTCATTAAGGTGGTTCTACAAAGCGGGCGACTGCTATGCCTTATGTTTCATGTCTGCTGCATGGGGCCAGCCAGAGCGGGTGGGTGTGGATTATTGGACAAAAATCCCATCTTTAGCTATATTTGGCTCTGAGTAAAAAAAAAAAAAATCCAATTGGTATATAATTTGGACACAGTGCATAATTATTATTTTTGTCATATCTGTCATTGTTTATACTTTTATTTTTATTATCCAAATAATAATCATTTTAAGTTGCAACCAATGTTCATTTTGACCTCAGTCTTAAGTCTAAAATGATGCTGCATTTTAGTAAAAATGTGTAAATTATAAACTAGATGCAGTTGATAAAATGTCAGGCAAATGTACTGGACTTAATTCATGACTCATCTATTCAAACCAAATATTCAATTCAAATTATATGAATCACATTGTACTACTTCGTGAAGCTTTTACCACATGTATGAAGCACCAGAGTTGTTCTTTCTTTGAAAATGCATTTGAACAGTTTCATTCAAGGGTGGATCTCATCCCCAGTCTGCCATCTGTGTATTTTAGATAAACAGATTTGTTTAGATTTTATTTATAGGCAAAAATATCCAGTCATTTAGGCATATTTTAGCACTCTAAGAGACGTCATTATGAATATTATTTCGTTTTTGCATTGTTTTTGACAGCAAAAAATAAGATGATGTAAACTACGACAAAATATATTAGTGAACAAAACTGACCCTGCTTTGAACACCATGTGGGAACACCCTGTCTTTGATTCCTAGTGCAGCAAATGGTTGAAGATTGTACACTTTTCAACATGCACAGAATTTGATGGAGGCTGACATGCTCTGCCTCCCACACTCCACCTGTAGAAAGAACGATATATACCTCAGTTGCCTGTATTTAAGTACTTTATAATACTGACGGATAATCATATTGAAGAATTTTTTTGTTTCAAAATAAATCTTTAAATTAAAAATTAAATCATTGTTTTGTCCATGTGAGTTGTTTTCAGTTGAGATGCAGACATTACATTCACAAGTTAATGTTTTAAAGCAGAGGTAAGATGAACTATATTAGCATTTAGTCTGGGTGAAGAGTAAGTAATTGTTGTAATGCTATAATGGTACTAGTCACATTTTTTGTAGTATCAGTAGTCACAATAGAAGAAGTACTAGCAGAAGCAGTATTTGGGCCACTGACACTAACACCTGCTCCTACATTATTCCAACATTATTTCAGATCTGACTGCTTTATATAAGTTGATATAAAGGATCATTTTGCTCTATAATGAGCACAGTATGTGAAGTGTTCCCAAAATAACCATGATCTTTCTCTGAAAGTAGGCTCACTGATGCAGCACAACTGAACTGAAGCTGAATAGACTGCCATGAATCAGGGATATAGTTTAATTTAGCCACATCCACAGAGAGGCCACAAAACGTTCTTATAACAGTAGCCTTAGCTCTGCCCGCTTTTCCAGTAATTACTTATAAGCATTTGGGGAATATGGGCATAATGTGTTAAGATACTAAGCACAATGAAAATAGACTTTTTTTTTTTTTTTTATGTCAGCTCCCATGCTCCTGCCCAGTAAATAAACCCCATGCTGCAGCACATTTCCTGGCTCTGGAATGGCCCATGCTGAAAAAGGAGAGACTAAAACTGCAGCTCCACTCAATAAATATGTGAGAGAGACCTGAGGAAGTGAGAGAAGCAAAACAGAATCATAATATCAGATAGACAGCAAAGACATGTACTGCTACTTATAAGAGAAACATATTTAAAATCTTAAAAAAATCTAAATCTAAAAAAATATCTACAACTATTGTGATGGTCATTTAGTATGACTCAAGATTTAAGTTTCATACAGATCATGTTACAATATCATAAGCTTTATTTTGAATCTGTTTTGGTCCTTACATAAAAAATATTGTAACTTTTCCTGACATGTAATTTGGTAAAAGGTATTAACATCTTGCTTATGAGTTTGTCTGCATATGGGTACTGCTCACTGGTTCAGTACGGACTATATACATGCAAATTTGAAACTGTTGACCAAATGTATTCTGGGTTTCACTTCATATTGCAACAGAATCACATCATTTATTGGAATCAGATGCAATAAGATGGTAGCCAATATAAGTAGTCTCGCTATATCCACTCAGAAGTTTATTTCATCATTTTATCTCATCACTAAGTCCAGTGTTGTTTGCGTTAGAGCGACTCTGCTGCGGGGTCTTGATGTATTGTTTTCAGCAGTTCAAATTGCTTATTTACCGCCTGACTTCCCCACACAAGCTGTTAATACTCTGGCAGATAAGTGAAAGTTCACACCACCCACTTCCCTGGTTCTTTCACCTTCACTGTCTACTCTTGGGCTGCTTGGCCTGTAGCATCACAGCTAACATTACAGCCCCTCAGCATGTTCCTGGGAACTGCACTTTGCACCTTTACACAGCCCAAGATCTTATTCTGGAGAGATTTCTCACAATATTAAGAGGTCTTGAAATCTTATTTTCAACACAGCCTGGGATGCCTTTTAGCTGTATACCTAGAGCACATAATAGGCTATATCATAGAGAGCCCTTATGGGTTGATTAGTTTTTTTTCTGGCAACACAAAGTGACACATTTTGTATTATTTATATAATAGACTTAAGAACCACTTACCATTTATATATTTTTTTGCTTAATATTATATTTATTGTGATTTAGTGTGTCCAAATAATTTCCCTTGTGGATCAATAAAATCTAAGTAAGTCTAAAATCCAAAACAAGACTTATACAACTTATTACTTATGTCTAATGTCTCTGAAATGTTTAATAGTCTTATATTGTGCAAGCCTTGTTAGAAGGCTGTTACCTCATCAAAAACATACATTCACACATGTTTAAGTAACCATTTATTATTAATCTGTCAGTATCTACAAAGCTCAGAATACTCTGTTCCACCATGTTTTTGTTTTGCGTAATAGGGGCCCTTCAGTAATAACGTCTTAACATCCTAACATTTTAGTAATCAGTAACATAATGCTTTAAAGACGTAGTCATCTCCAAGTCCCTGGTGCTACATTGTTAGTTATTTGCCCCATGTCCATAAAGTGTCTCCGTTTTCTTTTGTGGGCCCTCTGTGTGACTCTAACAGTGGGCTGCTGGTATGTGTGGGGGCAGTGGGCATGCTGCCTCAGGAATGCTTCATGTGAGGGGAAGTTGAGTAAAGAATTACAACAGTATATCTTTTAAATGTGCGCTGAAGCATGTAAATCCATACTGTCATACGCGCTGAAAGCATCATTACTGTGGGCTGTATTGCCTTTTGATTTGAATGGAGCTCTCGGTGCGCTCTCAGTGTGCTCTCATAGTTAAAGGTCACTAGTAGGCAGCTGGGCCCTTTGTAAAACACTCTCAAATGTTCACGCTTTTCATTGCAATAAGTGACTAGAACTAAAACAAAAAACAGCTACATTTTACAGCGACCTTACTGACCCCATTTAAGTGCATGGCTTTAATAAACCCACCACAGGGTGCTACCTATGAGGCACTACAGAGAAATTACAAGCTTCTTCAGTTTCAAAGTAATGGCCACAGCAAATGCCACTGTTTGTTATGAAGTCACGTGGGTTCAGAGAATTGTGACCAGGCTTTACACATATTTATATGGTTAAAACTCACCCTAAATTTTGTGAATGCTTATGTTACACTGATGCAACGTACTCATCATATTAAACAGTGACATCTTGTGGTCATTCAGCATTTATATACGGCATCTTATGGTGCTATAGATGTCATGTAATCCTTCAGTTTGTATATGTTCTATATTTTCTGCTGTGTGGTATTTCCCTTGTATTATCACTACAGCTAAAAAGTTTCGTATTATTGTTTGCATATTTATTTTTAATATTATTTATGTCAGATGCCCTTCCCGAAGCAAAATTCTCCAATTATCAGTCTGTGGAACTTGCGTAAAACAGCTGGCTCATTTCATTCTTCATATTATTTACAAAATGTGAACAAAAATAGGCCTATGTCATAAAGTTTTACAAGACAACAAGTTTATTTCTTTTTAAAGCTTACCCGTAAGCATTAGACAAAACAAATATTTTATGAAAAACAAACATTCCAATGCAGCAATCAAAATATGCAGTTTTGTGGCTTGTTGTCATAAAGCACAGTGGCATAGAAAACATAAGCATCAATTTAAAAAAACAGAAACCATTAAATTGAATATAAAATAACAAATTCTACTACAACGTGCAAATCCAGTGTGCAGTTATTTGTTTGTATCTTTAACCACATATACTGCCATCTGCATTCTTGGGACCAACAAAGAATTAGTGTACAGGGATGTTTTTGTTTTTTTTGGTGAAGATGTGAGATGCTGATTCAACTTATTTTACTTCACTTTTAACTTCCCTGTTTTAGATCTTTTCTGAGCTATCTCTTGAATTATACCATACTCCACAGCACTCTCGGCACATGGTGACTTGAAAGAAAGTACCTCCTCCTTCACCAAGTTGGGTTTGCTTTCATGTTTAATCACACACACTGGAATAATTAGAACCTGAATACCTTTTGGCAATATTTGGGAGACAAAAAAAGCATTCCACTATCCCAGCTGCGTGCCATAAACACTTGTAACCCACGCCACCTTGAAACCATGAGTTAGTTTGCAGCTTGTGGCGTTCTTGCATAACAATCTATTTGAGCAGATGCTAGGATGACTAAAGAGCCATCTAATTCCATGCACAAACCTCGCATCAGTGTTTGGCTGTTATTTAGGTAAACAGAAGAGGTTAGCAGGCGCTTTGTGTGGGTGGCATGTACCTGTGTGTCTGGGGCTTCTTTCACCTCATTATCACATGGGCCCATAGCAGACATTCTGGAGCGCAGTTTGAAGATACAAGGTGCATCCTTATTTTGCAACTCCAGCTTAGTCAGGAATATATTTATGGCTTGTATTGCAATAGAAATATGCCTCATATAAAAATAATGTAGAAAAAAATTAATAAATAAAAATGTGTTCACCTCAGAAACATTTTATTCATGAAATTTGGAGACTGTTGCTATGGGCACGACAAGTCAGATTCTCATTTTGTGATACAAATTGTCTTATTATAGTTTTGTTTGATTTTATTAAAGCTGCATTGTGTAACTTTTCTGGTGGAGGGCTTGTTAAATGTTTTTCTTCATGGATATGTTATTGCTTTGTTTGAAATGTTTCACAGTATGGTATTAGACCTCTCTATCTTCATGGAGACCAAGTTACAGGTCAGATCTTTGGTCAAAAATTCTAGTTTTTCTAGGTATTTTTGAGCTATAAAACTACCTATAATTTAATAAATGTAAGGTAGAGATGTTTAATGTCATTCTGTGGAACATTTCAGGCAGAGCAATGGCATATCCGTAGAAACAAAGAACCACAAAGTTAACAGTGCACCATTAACAAGAAATCTAGATCTGCATTCTGGCGCTTTTCCTTTGAGAGCATACTGTTGACTTGCATATTAAATTTTCATTATTATACATTTTTCAGGTCCGTAACATCCTAACACCCCCATTTGTTAAAAGAGTCAGTAATTAAAACCTGCATTATTTGATCTTCATTATAAGAGTGTTCGGCCAAAGAAAATCATTAGCTCTAGTGCTTTGTCATCAGGTTGAGTGGAAATATCATTGCTTGTCTTGGCATATTCATGTCCCTCCAGTTAATTTATTTAGTCATTATTTTTCTTTCCACATCGTTCCAGAGTGACAAAAATCACCAAAAAGGGGTGGTCTCCATGGTAACGACATTGGCTGCCCTAACACCCCATATTTGAGATGTGTGACTAGAATATTGGAGGTCTGTCAGTCAGGCTCATTTGTCACTGCATATTGCAATTAAGCCAGTTATTTAAAGCACAATATTGAGTAGTTTTAGAATATTGATAAATAATTTACAACCACAAGAGAATTAAAAAAGTGATATATTTTTGGTTGTGAGAGAATGCTGCTT